GTACCTCTGAAACAAATAATACATTATATGTTAAAAAAAAAAAAAGAAGAAGAAGATAGTAGGAAGGGAAAAATGAAGGGGGGGAATCGGAGGGGGAGACGAACCATGAGAGACTATGGACTTTGAGAAACAAACTGAGCGTTCTAGAGGGGAGGGGGGTGGGGGGATGGGTTAGCCTGGTGATGGGTATTAAAGAGGGCATGTACTGAATGGAGCACTGTATGTTATACGCAAACAATGAATCATGGAACACTACATCAAAAAAAATAATCAAAAAAAAGAATAGGGGATAAAAAAAAAAAGAATAATGTTGTAATTAAGGGTTCTGTTCCTAAACCTCACCTTGCCTTTCTATACATTCTAGACATAATAAAGTCTTGTAAAAACAGAGCTACAACAAATCTCATAATCATTCAAAACAATAAAATGAGGTTCCATGGCTCAGAGATTTTGAGATTGGCTCCTTTAAACCCCTGTTTTTACTGATCAATAAAATCAAATCCATAAAACATGTGGGTCTTCTCTAAGGGTATATACCTTGTTACACTATCTCAGCCATGAAATAATTTTTAAATGTACAGACATTTCACCCCCATATGATCGCTTAAGGGACTCCAACATATTCTCTATATATATATATACAAAATATATTGTATCACAAATCTGAGGTAGTATTAATATACAAGTTAGACCAAGCATTGGACATTTAATTAGACGTAGCTTTCCCTGCCTTAGAATTTAAGAGGTCATTTGAGGAATGGTGTGAATCGACACCACCTTATTCTCTCAATCTATTTTTCTGTAAAAACCACAGGCCTTCAAAATTAGTCCACTGGGTACTTTCCCCCATTAACATGGTAGCAGAAGCATCTCTGTAGTTTGAGACATCACTCCAGGCCTTAGCTTTGGTTCAGGATGCCCATGCTTTGACCTGATCCTCCTGCCTCTCTCTCTCTCTCTCACTCTTTTTTTTTTTCCTCCCCACCCACCTGAGAGAAGGGAGGAGGAAGAGAGACTCACATTCCTTTGGTGGGGTTACAGCTGAGTGGATACTATGCATTTTACTCTAAGGGTTAGAAAAAAAAAAAAGACAGGGACATAACTCTTCCCCTCCTCCAGCTCTGACTCTCATACCCACCTTAGACTCTCAGACCACAGCTCTCAGCACAGTGCCAAGAATATGGTAGGAGCCTGTTCATTTTGGGGGGATCTGTCCCCCATCCTGTTAGCATAATCTTCATGTCCAATGCATTATTTCTTATTCTCAATTACACTCAGCAATGACCCCCTTGCAGAAAGAAGTCTGCACCAGGTACAGATAGCACAACCCTGCTCTGACGTATGCACATGTCTACAAGACATAAACACTTGCTTTGGCTGTTCTGCAATCAGGAGTTGGGAAGGAACACAGTGCTCGACTGCATCCAAGACAGGGCTTGGGTCCCAGTTCTACTTATGTTCTGATCAAGTTACAGGTCAGAGTTCCAGCTTCCCGGAGTGAGGCAAATATCATCATCCACCTCATAAGGCTGTGACTGAAGATTAACTGTAAAACATTTTGTGAATGGCACAGCACAACACAAGTATCAGGTAGTGACCATCGCTGCTTCTGGCTCTCTAAATATGTTGGTGGGAGAGCGTGATAATTACTTTAAAAGTGGAACCAAGTTGTTTCTGCTGTTCACGATCTCCCAGCTCGTGGCCTGCTCAGCTGCAGTTCCCAAGGTAGGTCCATCAGGATACTAACTAGAAGGTGAGCACAATTCTAGTAGAAAACGGACCTGCTTATTTTCATGTGAACACAGACCTTTTCCTCCATTCTTCTTGCTTTATCAGACCTTCTGAACTACTTACTTTCAGCATAATTATAAAACTATTTTTAAACTTTTTATTATAAAAAATTTCAAACATATATAAAAGTGGAGACAAAGGTATAACAAACCTTCACGCATACATCAGCAGCTTCAACAATTACCAATTCACTCAAATCTTGTTTCACCTATTTCCCTACCTACTCTGGATTATTTTGAAGCAAATTCCCAGTATCATATCATTTTATCCATAAACATTTTTGTATGTATCTCTAAAAGATAAGGATTCTGTGTATAAACATAACCAAAATATTATTACATCCAAAAGGGAACTAAAACTACTTAACATCCAATATCTTATCAGTATTTAAATTTCTGCAACTCTATTAAAGGTGGTTTTTTTTTGGTACTTTGTTCAAATCTATTAGGCAATTGATTGATAAGTATTGTCTTTTTTAATCTAAAGCTTCTTTTTCCCATCTTTATTTTTTCCTTGCAATTTATTTGTCAAAAC